ATATGACAGTAGCTGTAATGACAAGTAGAACGAGATTCTTCCATGTGCAGCCGAAACCTGCGAATATTGCTGCAACTGAGTTGGATGACTTTTCCATAGTTGACCGTGTAACGCCGTAGGACAAGATATGGCTCCAAATAGAGGGAACTTAACGATCGATACATTCAACCAGTTTTCTGTCTACGTTCAAAACACGACCACCGAACTACGATGTGCAACAGCTGGTGTCTTCCAGAGGGCGCTGCGTCAAGTATTTGAGAGGTACTAAAATGACGGCGTTCTGGATAATCTACGTGCTGCCAAATTCTTATGAGCCATTTTAGAGATATATTTTTTTTCAGTCTTGGCGAACGTATATTTTTATTAATGACGCAGACAGCCAAAAAAATGTACACATTTACCTAGATGGAAATTTCATGTAGTATCATTTCACATGGTTTACTGTGTGTTGACGACCAGAATAGTATACATCTTGATCGTAAAATAAAGTGCACTATTCAATGTTTATGTGCAACATCAGCACAACATATAATTCAATGCCACGTAAATTAGAAAGACGTTAATTACTATAATAGTTCATTGTGTTGCAAATACCAAGTACCAAATACACCAATTTCGATTTCATCAATTCACGACAATTTAAAACATGACATGAAACGAGAATGAATATCACTAAATAAGGCTAAAATATTAGTTTTTTTTTTTAAATTATACTACGTGACCACGAGGGTGTTTCCGGTAAGCTATCCCGGTATGGATATTGCTCACTAAAACACATTCATTTTGTCGTTATTAATTCAGAATATATCACATGACATTTCGAATATATGTATTTGAATCTACCTCCATCCACGATAGCTTTGGATGTATTCTAGACCCCCCCCCCCACTCTCGTCATTTTTGTTAGGATAGCCAAAGAAAAAGTCTAAGTCTCAAATAACTTCTTTGTACAAGATTTCTTCGCACAAACAAACTAATTTATGGTGATTTGCGGATATTGTAGATCATTTTCGGACTGACTGTTTAAATTGTACACTCATTTACAAACTGTAATATAGTTTTGTATACATTTACATTACATGTATGTATAAGTTTTTTTTTTCAAAAACATCGTCAATATAATGTTAAAAAATAAACGGAAAAACACAACACAAAAAACAATTGTTTCATAAACATTGTATTAGTTTACTATCGCCACATACATTGGGGGTTCCGCGATTACCAAAACTTTTAAAAAAACTTACAGAAAATAAATAATAAATTTAAATAAAATTAAAAAAAGTGTATGATAACAAAAATAATTAGAAACGTATTTTTAAAACATGGGAAGAAAAAATAAAGCGCAAACTTGGATCTTATTTTAATCAAATTTACTTTAATCGTGCGTCCAGGACGTTGCAGATTACTCTAATTTACATGTCAATCAAAACATTTGTATTGCAATTTGTGTAACTCTTCAACAAGCTAAATATGTTTCTTGTATCATCTGAACTGAAGTATGACACGCGGGAACTGTTTTTATCACTATTTATGTTTTTAATTTATGCTTTGTTGACATTTTTGCATAGAAACTTAGAACTACGATTACCAAATATGTATCTACTGCATAAGAGTAAGTACGGTATTTGTTAGCTTTCTCATTAACTGGGCTTATGTTATTGTAAAAAATAATTATAGAAATTTAATTTAATTAATTAGGGAACAGTAACAGTTGCAGTAAAAATAACCTTATTAAAAAAGTAAACGTTGTTCTGTCTTACGGGCTTGATAGACAGAAACAGGTAGGACACAGACATAACGTCAATCTGGACCCCAGGGAGGGTTCTCTGAATAAAATATGGTACGCATGGCGGAATAAAAAAATGTTATTTAGTTATTTGACGCGTTCACGCGTGTTCCGTGTTTAGGGTCGAATATTTTAAAATATGTTATAAATAAAGCGTACTCGAAGCTGGGTGTGACTTAGAATATAGTGATAAAGTGTGAAAAAAGGAATCTCATGAATTCTTGTTACCTCAACTTGGAAACGATTTTAGTATGTATATAGGGTATATATTTTAAGTTTCTGCACTTGAAAAGGGGTATAATTTCACAAAAATAAGTTCGTGTTTAGAGGCTATTTTGAAAAGCTATACTTCAGCATGGGTACCACGTCTGACTTGGAGTATCCCCCTGAGATCTGAACCTGCATTTTGATGTGCCGTACTGAATACATAATCTGGTGTCTAATCTCGGCCACGGCCGGATGCAACACTTTCCAACATCGTCGTGGAAGTCTAGCCTATTGGGCTTGGTGAAACTCATGGAGGGGCACTTGTATCGTTTTGCATGCGAGGCACCAACGTCTCAGTTCAATGAAAATCACGACCCGGGAGGCCAAATTCCTCAAAAAACAACCCTAGACCGGTAACATATTTTGCAAAGCCCACCTTTCAATGTTGTTTAAACATTTTTTTCCAGCAGAAATCATGGTAAAATGGGCCTATCATTTTCACATTGGTCTGAAATGAACATGTTCGGCAACAGTATAATCGCCAACATGTCTTTGTTTAGTTCTTCGTTGTACCACAGAACTGTTGTACTGGGTGGTCTTCCGTGGTTGTACGTTACCCGGATGGACCGCGGTCGGAAATATCTCAAAAACAATTGTCCTCACGCAGATATGAATGTACTATTTGCAGAAAATGAAATTCATATTGTTAATAATATATTCACTGGATAGGTTATCATAAAAAACGATTAAGCCCCCCCCCCATGTTCATATATACTCTCTGGGTATTACCGCCGAAGTACGATTTTCTGCAAAAATAGTGAGTCATATATAGCAGGACTTTCCACGCAGAGACACTGGCTAGGTTTATGGAAACATTGACGCCTGCTTGTATACGGGATTTCCCCAGGCCTAGCTTTTTACGTTAGGTTCCACTCACTAACTCACTACTAGCAAAAGGTGAAAAGTACTGTGAATGCATAACTAGTAATTATTCGCTATTTTTTAATTTCGTTGATGAATTAAATTCACGTGAATTCATTGTTTTCTGCCAATTTCATACACTTAAAACACAGTGAAATCGCTAATACTGTACATGACGCAGATTTCGGGACGTGACTGCGTTGTGTGATTATTTGTAGATTTCTGCGATCACATACAAAAATAACGGAGACAGGGCTTCAAGTGCTCTGGAGATAGTGGAAAGTTCTTTATTCACGTGGGATATCACCAATGGCAATTCCTGCATAGAATGACGACATATTGGGAATAAAAGTAAAAATACGAAAAAATACATTAATAAAGAATTCTCACTTGACAGGTTGTTGGAAATATGCACTGCAATTATGCATATATCGAATGATCACAACATTTTTTTCAAAATCATAGTTTCGGAATACAAAGCATACATCCCTATGTATTTTAGCTACCTGGAATCAAAATGCCAGCTGTTCACCGACAACAATGTCCAACAATGTTTAAATAAATCTATGACAATTTTGGTTGTCGGGGATAACAGTATGCTAAATATTGGAATACAAACCTCATAAAAACATCCATCAACAAATGTAAATAACTAGAAAAATATGAGACATCCAATCCAATTACATCTGAGTGTTCTCTAAACTCTGGCAGTAACAGATTGATAAGATACAGCAATGGATAGTAAAGTTGTACAGTAAACACATTCAGATCAATCTGCATATGAAAACAATACTGACCGCCATATTGCGTTGAAGACTTACAGGGTTCACCACTTGAGGGCGTTTCCCCAATATCTGCTCATATCTAACTTGAATGCATTGAGTCCCCCGGGATTGAGTCAAATACTTTGTAAAGGGTTAGCATACATTAAATTTTGTTTAAAAAAAGGCAAGATTGTTACATAAAAAAATAACTAAAAAGAATAAAGAAGAAATAATAATAAATGTAAAATTTCATGGCCACATGTTTATCATTTTAATCTATCAGCGCACTGTACGCTGATCGCCGAAGTATGATATTCTGCCGAAATGTTGAGTCATATATAGCGGGACTTTCCCCGCAGACACATTCGGTTTATAGAAACATTGACATCTGCGTGCGTGGGTTTTTCCCAGGCCTGGCTTTTTACGTTAGGTTCCTTTAACTTACTAACAAAAAGCCGCAATGGCCATTACGGTGACAAATACTGTGAATACAGTAATTATTCGCTAGTTTTTAATTCCGTTGATTCTCCATGGAGTCTGATGAAAAAAGTGTCTCAAAAAAAACTTTTACATGAGTTTTTCGTTTATTTTTTCAACTCGTAGCGATAGAATCAGTCAATTTAGAACTATCATGTGTGCTATCGGAAAACATTTTTGTACAATTTTACTGAAAAGACAAGTTTTTCATTGTCATGAATATTAATTTATGCAAGCGAGACGATTATTTCATCCAATCGTGTCATGTATCCCCCCCCGGTGAATGTATTAATTATTCGCTGGTTTTTAATTTCGTTGATAAGTAAAATTTAAAATATTAGATTCACGTGAATTCATTATTTTTTTCTGCTGACTTCGTGAACTTAAAGCTCAGTGAAACTTACTGCTCAAAACATCGAAATAATGAAATAAAATACCAATCACAATAAATGGTTTCGCCGTCACGGTATTATCCATATCCTGAACAGAAACTCTAATTTGAATATCGCGCATTGTTTCTAAAATATACTGGCTGTTTTCGCCGAATACCTGACGTATTTCGTTTATTTGTCCAAATTCCACGTAATATGTTGTTCAACAGGGGGTTTCCAAGAAAGTATCGCTCATACGGCTGATCTGCACTGGCTCGGAAGATGAATTCTGATTGGCTAAAAAAACAAAAAAACTTGTGGCGTTGAATGCACGTTCATTGTCAGTATTGTTATGCAAATTCAAACTAGCTAATCATACCTGTTTCGCCATTAGTCTAGGGAGTTTTGTCGTCAAGCAGTTTGGCAGACTATTCTGGAGTCTGTCCGACGTTTGACACCGAAGTAAAATGTCTAGATAATCCTGTCTTGCACAGCACTGAGGTGAGTATACACCGGGACGATTTTTGTACTATGCTTGGTGGCATTCGTAAAGACCAATCACGGGGCCAGTGACGATGTTTGTTAGGCGAGCTAAGTTCGTGTATCACCTAACTTTTTCCAGTGCTGAATATATGCAGGTGACGACAGAAAGAATTTAGGCAAAAAGCAAGGCACGTGTTCAAAGTTAACCGAGCCATTATTTGTTCATCCCATATGAACGGTACGAGTATACCGACTATTTAATAGTTTGAATGTCGGGATCGAACGTACTCAATTTACTGTGGTACGACAGGAAATGACTCAATAGTTAGTTTAAAGAGCGGCAGTCGTCGCGCCGCGTTCTGTTAGATATGTGACTCATAGCGACGTATACAACGCGTGTAAAATACATTGTTTATTTACATGAAATTCGAACACGCGCTGCGCGACGACCACCGCGCTTTAAGGTATAGATGCAGGTTCGTGGCACAGTCGTTTGTGGGCACTCGGAGTGATTTTTTTTTTTATTTTTCTTTTCTTTCTTTTTATATGCAAATGAGTTGCTGGTCTCAGTTATGGTGCAGTGATGTGTGACTCCCTGTCCTCAACCCAGTTTAACCATAGACAGTATAGTAGTAGGATACTGTCTATGGTTTAACTCAAGCGCTATCAACAAGCCTCGCAAACTACAAAAAAAACAAAAAAAAATAGACAACATGTAAGCACTTCCAGCATGCAAGCAGAATAAAAAAACACAAGTTGTAAATGATAAGTATTTTATACGTAGAGGAATTGTGTTTGTGAGCACGGGAAAGTTGGAATTTTGAAAATCTGAGAATTTCTTGTTAAGTTTATGTAATTTTTCGTTTTTCAGCACATTTTCCGTTGTATTTTTGAATCGGTAATATTGTAATGTTTCAAAACCTTGCTAGTACTGTTTTTTAGTCCATAAAGATCATTTGATGTTCTTTGCAATGGTGCATGACATGGACTGCACCGGGTTGTACCAGAGACTGAATTTTGAGGTTCGAAATGATACTTTTTGAAGTTTATATCCTGTGTATGTCCTACTTCCTATGGGAGTGCGTCAATTTTCTTTATACACCATGTACAAAAAATTTTTTTGTTTTCAAGCTATCATTTCATTCACAGCATATGCAAAACAATTCTTCGTCTGTAATATATGCTCTTCGATTTCGTTTACGTCTTCTGAATAGAAGGATATAGCAGTTTCAACATCGTAGTCAAACTTGTGCGTGTTTAATATCGATCGTCACCATATTTGTTTATAAGAATTTGACTAGAATTGTCACGAAAATCAGTGATGCCGAAGGCGTCCGTAATTTTATTTTGTTTTATTGCAACATATAAGTAATACATATTGACCCCTCGCTAAATCGCGGGTGTTGGGATCCAAGCAAAAAACACAACATATCGGGGTTTGTTGGAGGGGGGCGGGGGGTTCATACGTTGAAAATGGATAAATAGGACATATACGAGTATTTGTAGTAAGTTTTCTTTATTTTTTTTATTCTTAAAACATCACAGCTTCCATCCCCAGATGGATTAAAATATGCAATCTTAGTACACATGCAAAGTAAACAGAATTATGTGAATTTGCATTGGTGGTGGGAATTTCCATGTCAGTTTATAAAATCGTGAACAAATATTTTCGTAAATAACACTAATTCTCATTAAGGTGTATCATTTATGCATATAATTATATATCTCATATACTTTTTATTAGTCCCCGTTCGGACGTAGTCCGAAAACGGGGACTTATGTTTTGCCGTGTGTGTGTGTGCGTGCGTCCGTCCGTCCGTCCGTGATCACCTGTATCTCTAACATACATGGACTGATTAAGTTGAAACTTCACTCATACATCACACATTATATGGGACATGTGCACATGAATTTTTTTCATGATCCGATTAACGATAGCCGAATAGCGGCCATTTTAAGGCCGAAAATGCATCAAAATCGCACATTTTCACCATTCCAGACCCGGATCTCAGTTATGCATGGACAGATTTTGTTCAAATTTGGTACATACATTAAACATAATAGGACCTTGATGCACGTCACAAATATGTATGTGCATTTGTTTCAGGATCTCATTAACGATAGCCAAATGGAGCGCTTTAAGGCCGAAAATGCATTGAAATCGCACATTTTCACCATTCCGAACCCGGATCTCAGTTATGCATGGACGGATTTTGTTCAAATTTGGTACATACATTAAACATAATAGGACCTTGATGCACGTTATTTTTTTTTTCGGATCGAGTTTGAAATTGCCGACTGGCGGCCTTTTTATTAAAGAATTCAGTTCTGGATCCGTATCCAAGACATGTCTGGATTGATCAAGTTCAAACTTCACACACACATGGTACATCATGTCACAAATAGATATGTGCATTTGTTTCATGATCCGCTTAAAAATAGCTGAATGATGGCCATTTTAAGGCCGAAAATGCATCAAAATCACGTATTTTCACAATTCCGGAACCGGATCTGTCATGCATGGATGGATTTTGTTCAGATTTAGTACAATGTGTTGTACATATGCAGGTGCATTTCGGTCATGATCTGCTTTTAATGTATATGTCACTCAAATATGAACAGAACGGGGATGTGTCATTGACAATGACTTGTCATTATTAATTATACAAAAACATGGTATTCCCTGATTAACACCGGTTGTTAATGGCACATACAACATTAGATTCTCAACTTCGATGAAAAGACAAGTTTCTGTCATTCACCACGAAAGCCAAACATCGCGAAAGCCAAACATCGCGAAAGCCAATCATCACGAAAGCCAACCATTGCGAAGCTACTAGTGTAAAAAGTTAAATATAGTGCATAATATGAAGATCCCGTATAGACTTTTTTTCACTATGTTTCTTTTTGATTATTTATGTACAGCGTTGCTAAATCTTACTAAGCATTCAAAAGAGAGAATGTTTGTACCTGTTTTCTATATTTTAAAATCGTCTTTTGAGTATGAGAATTTTAACAGTCTATATAGCCAAGACTGTAGTAGTAGACTGACTAGTAGTACATCTATACCTTAATAACCTGGAAATATGGCGGTGACAGTAACTCCCGCGCCCGGTAGGCAGTTTCCTGGGGACTTTGCAACAAGAAATGGTTTGGGTTTGTAAAATACCGATCACCATAGAACTTAGTTGCATTTATATCCTCAGCATTAAAAGTCGACTGGCCCAGTTGACTGACATGGCATTTTTGTTTTAGACAATAATTCCTTTCGATTTTATAGAATGTCTCTTGTTGACCCTGATTTAACAATATAGATATAAAATTTCCACTTTTCCAAATTTCTCTTGGCCAGTCTATATTAAATGGTTATTAAATTAACTATTGAGTCATTTCCCATCATACCACTGTAAATTGAGTATGTTCGATCCCGACATTCAAACTATTTAATAGTCGTATACTCGTACTGTTCACAAGAAGGAAAGAATAAATAATTGCTCGGTTAACTTGAACATGTGCCTTGCTTCTTGCTTAAATTCTTTCTGTAGTCACCACCATATATTCAGCACTGGAAACAAGTTGTATTGCTAGGTTAACGAATTGCATTTATCGTATTAAAACAAAAGAATCATTAGCACATGCAAACTTGATCAAAACAGCATCTGCGTGCCCACAGAAACTACATGCAGATCGATACGCAGACATCAGTGTTATGGTTTCTGCGTGCCTGCAAAAGTCACTCGCAGATATGCTTTTGAGGTACTCGTACATACCTCGCACTTTAATGGTTGATCAAGCATCATGTTCTATGAATCCTAATTAAGCAATCAGTTAAAGTAATGTGTAATTGATAGCACCACAGTGAGAATGATCGGTGAAAGTACCGTACTGAACTGAATTAGTGCCCGTGCCCAGTCAAGCGCCCACCTTTATATATTCTGGGTCACATTCGGCAAAGCACTGACCCTTTCAAAATGCCACTACTGTAAAATATTTTATTTTCGCTTGGAATTAATTTTCACTCAGGAAATGTTTCAGTGAAAATAAAATCCAGCGAATACCTTTTTTCCTATATTTTACATTCAACTTGTCAAAAATCACTGAAAATAAATTCAATACAAAACACCCAAAATGTCTTGTCAGCGAAAATTAATTCCAGCTAAAAAAAAGTATTTTACAGTAATGTAAACTTTGTATAACTTCAGTCTTAAGTGAAATGTGCATTGCTAACAGCGGAGCCTACAGGCTGCTTGTTATCAATGCTCGGTGACACGATCAAATTTCAAGGAATATGTCACCATTGTCATGTTTGGCTGGAAAGACATTTGAAGTATTTTGCTAGAAATGCATCATTTGTTGACCATTTATATTCCTAATATAAAGGGACAGTGAAAAGTTTGCATATACACCAGTGAAAGCACATTTTAGAAGCCAGTGAACAATTTTTGCGGTTATTTTTGAAATTTTCCAAGGGGATATGTTTATTCTTGGGTGTATGTTCATTAGATTTTGAAGGGGGAGGGTATGTTTATTCGAGACAAAGATAGTGTCATAGGTTTTTTTTCTTGAATTGATCAAATTTGTCAAATTGACTATAATCACCACATTTTGTCTGTCAATATACTTCCAGTTGTAGTTGGTTTCGAAATGAGTTATTTTTATTCAAATGAAAATGAGAATCTGTGATTGGCTATAATAACAACTATAAATAACAGGTTTTTGACATTTATGATTATTTATAAAAATAGTATCTTTGTGGAAAGGACAGTAACGAAAGTTTCAAACTTAAAGTACAGAAGATAAAAAATATTATAATTCTCACTTATTTATTTTGGTCCTGATCATTTTTATATTTATTGAGCAGAAATAAAAAAAATTTAACTACTAGCTCTCAATTGAGAGAACATGTTTTAGGGAATTTCTTGATTCAGGGCAATGTTCTGGTGTGTCATCATTGCAAAATGTAATGTCAAAAATGAACAGTTTACTGTTAACCTGGTAATTAAAGAAATATCACAAAGAATAAAAACAATTTATGTAGGCTATGGCCAGACTTTTTTTATTCCTTGTTTCTAGAGTTTTTATAAGGCAATTTTTTTGAGGAGGGCGAAAAATAAATAAAATTAATTCTTTTTTTCCATTAGATTTGTGTGTTTCTCAAAGAATTGTAAGTGAGATCATTGATCGGAGAGAAGAAATGAAATGAAATTTTATTCCATGTATAACCTTGTTTCTCATCTGCGCGAGACTTCGGTACTCCCATGATACTCCCAGGAAAATGCAACTTGGATTTTTGTTATGCGGCGGGCGGTGAAAAAATGAAGATAAAAATAATATGTTTTTAGCAATTTTTTACGCTTACAAGTCGGCGGGCGTGAGAAATTACGCTGAAAATTGTTTTTATTTTTATTTCATTTTTGGCTCATGTTCATTCGGCGGGTTCGCGAAACAAGGGATAATAAAAGTCTGGCCTAAGAGATAAAATGATTGTGTTTTCTATATTTTGATGAAACACAAATGTTTGTCTCATGGAAATTATTTTTTACTTACTTCATGTAGTGGAACATCAGAACATGACTGTAAGGAAATCAACTATTATGTCTAAAAATTCACATAATTTCCTCATATTGTGTTGAATATTTAAATTAAAAATGTTTGGAATCGTCTCTTTGCTGGTTTATTTTGTGAAATAAGAAAAAATGCTGGCTTTGGTTTTCAAAATTTCGAGGAGAAGTGTGAAATGATGTCCTTCTTTATTCTATATTCACAGATTAATAGTTTGATACTATGCAGATTTAAAAGACGTTGAATTAAGCCATGGATAGCAGTGACTCAGGTATGATTTGTAATTTTGTGTCAAGAAATATCTGTCTTTTTGCATTATGTCTGCAAGCTAGAACACCACGCCCACTTACTAGAACAATGCCTGCCCATTTAGTCTTTGTAGTTAAACAGTCAGCAAAACATTTGGAGCAAGTATTTCCCCTATTACATTGTATTACATAACATTTTTCCGATATATAATGCTTTTCAGGAAATCATAAGTTTTTATGAAGATTTTAAAACAATTAGCATGGAAGCCCTCGTGTTACATTAAATCGTGCTGATTTAAACCAGCTAGATCCCATAAAATTTGTTCAAAACCCTTCAAATTAAGGGGGATATATAATGCACAAGTAGTCACTACAGTTTTGCACACACTATAAAATTGTAATGAAAAGAAAATTGTTGTGATGGGTCTAATCCCACAAGGACGATTCTATCCCATACTGATCTGACTGTCACATGGTTGGCAACAGGTCACGTCGTTCGATATCACACCCCATTCACGATAGTCTCAATGGGCACGATTAAGTAAAATAATATCCAATGACCAGGTTTCACAACTTGCCGATCATATTTTTGAATTTTTGAAAGATACTACTCAAAGAAATATAGATTATATCGGTATTGCAACATCAGGGTACATCCCAAGTAAATAACAGAATAGAAAGGGTGCGAACCATGTTGTGTATGTTTGCCATGCACTCTGAAATTAAGGCAAGTTTTCTCATAAAACTAAAAGCATGAACCAAACTACTGTACCAACCACAATTATTATGCAATGAAACACACTTTTTACACGCATATTTTAATGAATGTCGTCGACGCCAAGTAAAAACACCCTTGGCTTATAATTTAATCAACTTATTAAATGTCTAAAAATAGAGGGGTGGACTTATACTCAGGGAGGGGCTTATGATCGAGGAAGTACAGTATTCCTAAAGAAGAGTTGAGTCAGGTTATTGTAGACGTAACATTGATTACTTGTCTGGGAACCTACAGCACACACCAAAAATGACATGATTAGTATCCAGCTGGTTCTACTTGTCTTTAGTCGTGAATACCAACTAATATAGACCCAGTGATTTCGGTGATTGAATAATAATAATCCATTTTGGGTGTCTGTTTCCTATCAAACTGAAGATATAAATTTTAGAACCAGACTGGTTTGCAAGGCATAAAGTAATTTCCTGTCTCAATATCATGAATATAAGATATTACCAGTATATTATTGGCATTCATAAAGGTCACTATAAGGAACACTTCAAACCGACCAAGTTGCTGTGATGCCATGTAAACTCAGTTAAGCTGAGACAGATGCTGGAAGTTTTGGTTGGGGGTAGGGAGAATACGGGTGTGGGGTCAACTTAACAATGCTTTTCATGGTAACTTTCATTGAGTTTTCTCTGTGTTAAGTGACCCACCCAGCAGATCTTTAGTTCTGTTTTATTCATGTAGATGCATGATAAAAATACAATTAACAATTAATGCATGGTTAGTGATTATTCAAATATGGCAATTTGTTTGGTTAGCTTGTGCGATAGTTTGAAATTCCGCTTTTTCCAAAATATAGAATCAATGAAAAAAAATAATGAAGAATTTTTGTTACCTACTCTTAAATGATTGCACATATTTATATTTATTTTTTCTTATGTGATATTTTTTTTAGTCCCTGTTTGGGTGAGACTTTCAATTATGTGTATCCATCCATGCACCCTCCAAAGCCATTTGTCAGTCATGCATTGGGCCATTCCAGTTTATATCTGCATCCCCCTGTTGATGTGGTCGGATTTCGAGCACTGTATGATGGGGAAAATACCCCGGAATTCCAACCGTATATGGAGAAACAGAATCTGGAAATCCAGACGAGTATGGAAAAAAAAAATCCTGGAAATCCAGGCAGTTATGGCTACTAAATAAAATATGGCCTAGTATAAAAAGCCTGTACCATAATCTTTTCATATGGCCGGGGTTCACTGAGTAGCTGTGCCAGGCAGGATCACTCACTTGTTTTTCAAGATAGCTGACATGCAAGCATTTTGTTTTTTAACTGCATTACCTAGCTGTGTCTCTGGCAAGCAGTAACCAATATACCGTATTACCCCGGGCACGCGCCCCTCCCTGGGCAAGCGCCCACCCCCCTGTTTTCACAAAAGTTACATGTTGGGGACATCCTCGGTTAAACGCCCAGGGTGATTTTTAGCCAAGAATTAGGTCAACAATAAAGTTTTATTTGTCAAAAACGAACGCGTTTGATTTATTTATTATTATAATAAATAGTGTGTTTGTTACGGTAGTTCTCTTTTTGGAGTGTGTGGTGGCCCTGAAAAGGGCCGTTTTGTTTGTTTTTCCGTAAAAACTCATTGGAAGAGCATCGCCAGGCGATGGACGTGGGACTCTTTGGCAACGACCAAAAACGTATCCGTGTCCAGCCATTGGTTGACCACGTAGAGGTCAAAATACGTGTTCTATTTTTACGCATTAAGTTTGGCTCTTCCGTTTCACCCCCTCCGAAATGTTCGACTTTTGCAGCCTAATCGCAGGTTTTTCGAAAAACGTCGAAAAAACACAAGAATTAGTGGAAATGTTTCTATTTGGAGCGGATTATTGATAGAGGATAATGTCTTTATTACAAAAATGCTGAAAAACCGTGAGTTTTTGCCTTAGTTATTTTTTTATCGGCGAAAAACTGCAAACTCAGCAAATTTGGTTGCACAACTTCCCTCTATCTTATACACCCAGCGACATCGATGCAAGCTGACTGTGAACGGGAGCTAGCACTTTTGAGACATTGCTACTTTCTTTCCATCCCTCATCACAGCTATGGCATTACGGTCATGTGGATTATTTTTCTGTCGTTGAAGAAAAAAAACATTTTGCCGACCTCAAGTCCATTA